ATATATTACCATCAACTGAGATAGGGAACCCTGTAAGTAAAGTGGGTTTTAGGGAGAAGATCAGAAGTTTCATTTGAACATGTTGACTTTGAGATGCCTATTAGATATCAAAGTGGAGATGGTGAGGAGGCAGACCGGATGTACAAGTTTAGACTTTGGAGAAAGGTGTGGTGTGGAGGTATTCTTTGGGGAATCATCACAAATAGATAGTATTTAAAGCCTTGTGATTGTGTGAGGTCAGCCAGGGAATAAGCATTGATAGAGAAGACAAAAGAACCAAAGACTGAACCCCAGGTTATCACAACATTAAGAGGTTGATGCAAAGAGAGAAAGGAGCAGTCAGTGAATTAAGTAGAAAACCAGAGTAGTATGGTCTCCTGGAAGCAAAGGGAAGAAAGGGAATCAGTGAGGAGGAAGTGAACAATATACCAGACACTGCTATAACAATATACTGCTAATAGATTATAAAATTGACCATTGGATTTAGCAAATGGATTCATGGATGACCTTAATGAGATCGGTTTCCGTGCAGCTGTGGGATTGAAAACCTAGTTAGAGTGGGTTTGACAAGCAATAGGAGGAAAGCAAAAAAAAGGCAACTCTTTTTTTCTAGCTTTGTGACAGAGGAACCAAAGAAATGATGGGAGAGAAGTGGAGTCAAGAAGAGGTTTTTTTAACATAGGAAAAACAATGTCATATTTACATGCTGATGGTGATAACAATAGAGGAGGAAAATCCAAAGTATGATAATTTTGTTTTATAATACCTTAAAGAGGAAAATCTGTACTCCATTTACTAGAACATAGACATCCTTGTCCATAATTATACAAGGTAAATAATATACAGAGATAATAAAAATAATTTAATTAGAATAACTAGCTGTAAAAAGGTTTTGATTTTTAACTGACAATTTTGTTTGCCACCTTAGAGTTTAGAAGGACTTTTTCTTTGGGGATAAACTGTGTGACCCAATTCTGTTGAAGAAGCTGAGCTGATACCTTAATTTTCCTCTTCATTAAATTTTCCTATAATAGAGGCATTTGATATAATTCCACTGACCTTAGAGCTAACATCATTAGCCTTATTTAGCAGTAATTTTATTATCAACAAGGTCGATGATGATTTTTCCCTTGAAAAATATTTCTGGGGCACCTGGGTGGCTCAGTCATTAAGCATCTGCCTTCTGCTCAGGTCATGATCCCAGGATCCTGGGATTGAGCCCCACATCCGGCTCCATGCTCAGCAGGAAGCCTGCTTCTCCCTCTCCCACTCCCTCTGCTTGTGTTCCCTCTCTTGCTGTGTTGCTCTCTGTCAAATAAATAAAAAAAAATCTTAAAAAAATATTTCTGTATGTTAAGGCTAATACCAACTTGTACACTTTGTCCTCCCTTTCTTAGTTGATTCAGAGCAAGCACAATCAGAGGAAATACAGGGGACTAGGAAATAAATCAGTTGTTGTCAACTTCCATGTTCCCATTTAACACTTAGTTGGCAATTCTCAGAAGGCTTTGTAATTGGAAAGCCAAAGTAATAGAAATCGTTATAAGGTTTTAGCAGAGATATTTCAAAGAAATTTCCGAACCTCTCTGTGGAATTAAGACCAACAGAAGATAATCTACTGATTTTCCAGCCTGCTGGTGTCTCCCTAAACTCAGACTTGGAATAAACAATTAATTATCATTTAATTTAGGATATCTTTTAATACATAAGACAAAACTGAGGATCATCTTAGGAACGTTTGAGATGGTTTACTTAATAAAACCTTAAAGCAAATAGGTGGATTAGATGCTTCTGGACATTTTTTCCAAACATGGATTTTTTTGATGGTTGTTGTTAGTATATTAAAAAGTTAAAGAATCTTTCTCTGAAAATGGTGGACAATACTACACAATTTCTGAGGCAGCCACGTAAGAATGAAATCATTAGCCCCTGCATTTTCTTTTCAGCTAACTGGGACAGACAATAAGAAGCACCAGCCACAGGTTTTATTTTTGTTCTATATAATTACCATCTCTAATCCTGAACCATTCAACCATTCCTACTCCTATACTCTGTACTGTTGCCATTACCAGCTTATGATGATTCTTGAAAAGTTTCTGAGTATATCCCAGATGACACATCAATCATCAGGGGCCCCTTCTCCTATTTAATCATGGCATGAGGGGCCTAGAGGTGGTATTTTTAGGTCTCAGGGATAGAATAGAATGAGTGGTTGGAGAGAGGGTATTGAGACCAGGATAGATGGGAGAGTTGGTGTAGGTTGAAGGTCTTCCAGATGGTAGAGAGAGTGTGGCTGCAGGGTGAGTGGGTTTAGAGAGAGCTCATGAGGACCATATAGCTTGGATGGTCAGTTAAAGAAGCAGAAGAAAATACTTCAACTTCCTTCAGTTATTGCTCCCACTAGTGGCTCAACTTGGATGTCTGGGAAGACCAGAGAGTGCCAGAGGTGTGTGCTCACTTTTTCCCTTTCTCCAAAGCCGGCCCACAGATGGTGAAAACAGGCATGATGTCAGGCAGCTCCTTTTTCATCTGGACCATGGCATCGATTGGGCAGGGTATTTCATTTCTCCAACATTTGGTGAAGCTATTAATACTTTCCCTCATTCTTTTTCTGTCAGAATGCTTAAGGAACACTTGGAGAAATCACACAAATATCTGAGAGCAAATAGAGTGAAGTGGTCCTATTTGTTTTTAATAACAAATCCTTGGAGTCCCATATTCCCACAGATCCACAAATCTAGTCTGACAATATCTAAATTTGTCCTCTCTAATACCAGAAGCCTCTTTCACGTGATGTCTAGAGAACCGAGGTGGAATATAATAAAATTTAAACCTGGGTCTTGCTAAAAAGAAACAGGGACGATACAGTTTTGTTTTTCTCAAACTTTTACCTCATCTCCTTAGTATGGCCCTTGCTGAGAAACTTGAAGAGCCTCCAAGAGAACTGAGGTTCTTTCAGACTTTTTTGAACTCTGGGGTTAGCCCTTCAGATTCAGATGTAGTGAAAGAAAATGGAGTCATGGGAATAAGTTATAAATAGGCTTTTGTCAAAATACCTCCTGCCTGAGGGGCAGATCTGTAGTGCTCTTTCCAGTTGTAAATTTCCTAATGATTAGAATCCTTTGTTTAAATCCTATTATGGTGAATTATTAATACATCATTAGTGGTTTCCTTGTGCCTGACCTATTTCTATAGTGCGTTGTGACGCTACCATGAGTCATTTTGTTGGAACCATGTTGTCATTTAAGACTGAGGGGCACACGACTGACATACAATTAGACTTTTTTATTATGTGCTGTCAAACAGCAACTGCCATCAACTCCCCAATCCCTCCGTCTAAAAATACTTCAATAAATGAAATAAAATATGCCTAGATATTCCCCAGATAGATCCCCAAATTGCATCAAATGGGTGATAGAATCCAAGTTGTTTACACTATCTTGATTACCGCACTTTGTTTAAAGCTTTACTTTTTACTTATTAAATTCATATGACAGATAACAAGTAGTTGCTTACTTTTCCTGCAGCAACTTAAACAGCAAGCATTTATAGGAAATGTGAATTCTGATTTAATGTGATTAGGCTGTCCAATAGGATAAACCATAAAGGGATTTTACTTTTCTTAGTTTTTAGCTTGCCAGATATAGCTACCAAATAGGCACTTTACGACTCACTGGCTTAGATTTATCACATCCTAAAGTTCGAAATTTTGTAATGGCTAGATTATCGTTCAAGTCACTTTCAGTGTGATATCTGCCTCCCTCTCTGATAATTCTAAAGACACATTAACTCAACTATCTGATGAAATTGTCCATTATGTACCTTTTTTTAAAATGCCACATTTTTAATGTTAATTATCTTAAAGCATAATACTATTATAATAATTTCCATTCCACTGTCTTTTTTAAAAAAATATTTATTTCTTTGAGAGAGACAGAGATAGTGAGAGAGAGCATGAGCGGGAAGGAGGGGGGAAGCAGTCTCCCTGCTGAGCAGGGAGTCCTGATGCGGACTCCATCCCAGGACCCTGGGATCACAACCTGAGCCGAAGGCAGATGCTTAACTGACTGAGCCACCCAGGCACCCCCCATATCACTGTCTTAAAAAAGTATGCACGTGATAAAAAGAAATCAGCAGTACAGAAGAGTACCAACTGAAAATTTTCCATCTGTATTAGTCTGCTTGGGCTACCGTAACAAAATACCACATTGGTGGCCCAAATGACAGAAATTTACTTTCTCAAAATTCTGAATCTAGAAGTCCAAGATTCAAGTGCCTGCAGATTTAGTTTCTGGTGTGGGCTCTCTTCAATGGCCACTCTCTGGCTGTGGACCTTTGTGAGTTTTTGTGACCTTTTCTCTGTGAGTGCATGAGAATGAAAGAGATCTCTGGTGGCTCTTTTTCTCATAAGGACTCGGTTCCACCCTTATGATCTCATTTAATCTTAATTATCTCCATAAAGGCTGGGCATCCAAATACAGGCACACTGGGTGTTAGGATGGTAGACACAATTCGGTGTGTAACACCACTCAATCCCTAGTCTCAATCTCCAGATTGGTCAATTTTTTATTTTAATTCTTCTGGTGGTTATTTTCATAATTCTGTTACATACTGAAGTACATTTTTTTTGGGGTATAGATATTTAGACAATATAACTTTTAGCTGACTATAATAAAGAATAAGAAATCAGTTGACAGTGTTATCTGCTAACTCCCAGCTTTAAAAAAATTTTTGCTAGTATTAATTTTAACTTTTTCAATTGGTTGACTTTATAACCTTTGAAAACAGACCTTTATTTCTTTTTTTAAAAAAAAGATTTATTTATTTATTTTAGAGAAAGAGAGAGAGAGAGCGTGTACAGAGGGAGGGGCAGAGGGAGAGGGAGAGAGAAATGTCCTGTTTGTTCAATTTGGTCTTTTTTGGTGTGCTATTGACATGCAGTTCATTTTCCTCAAATGTCTGGTAATTCTCCTGGTTCACTTATATTTTTGAATGAAAGATAAGGATGGTTAATGTCAGGTTAATGGTGTATATATATTTTCCCCAAGATGCCTTTCCCTGACCGGGGGGCTGATGGTGATGCCTGGGTCAATGTCCAGGCTTCGTTTTATGATGTGAAGGTAGAAGTAGGCAAGTGGGCTGGGTCTGCCCCTGCCCCAGACCAGGAGCTTGGCCCCATCTACACTGATCACTCATTTCCTTTAAGATCACTTTCTTGATTTCAGCCTGGGGCAGACACTGAACTTGTCAGTTGTTCTAACTGATGTAGTGAGAGGTGATGGGGGGCCACATGAGACAGATTTGCAACTCATTACTCTAGTTAGCCCCTCAGTCCTGTGACTTTCAGGCTCTGGGACCCTGCAGGGAAGAATACATCCCTCCACAGCTGCGGCCTCATCCAGTCACTGTGTTCTGGCCGCTGCCTTCTCCACTCTGTTATCCATCAGCTCCAGGCCACAGACTCTCTCCATCTTTCAGAAAGCCACGAGACTGCGGTCTGTTGTTGGTGTCACTCCTCCTGTTCGCAGTATGGCTTTGGCTCGGTCCCATTTTATACTCTTTCACTGTCAATTTCAGTGGAATTTGAAAGAAGAAGGTTGGTGGGTGCCAGGACTCAGTTCATCCCTCTGAGCTGGAACTTTTCTATCTTTTAAAACAGAATGCATTACAATCCGGTTTTTCTTGTCCCCTTAGTATTCAGGGTTAAAATCACTCTGTTGTGTTACAATACATTCCCTCCAAAGGCTGCAAGCGGTTAAAAGTATTTCTTCTCAAACTGTTATTGTTTTGAGTTCTTGTGATTATAGTTTTCATTTTTTGCCCTCACTTTTGCCTTATTGCCACTCTCACGGTGCTGCTCTGAATTACACTCTTTTCTTCTAATTGGCTACTTCTGATATAAAGTAGATTATCCATAAGGCAAGAATCAGTAAACTTTGAGGGTGTTTTGAGAGACATTCCTTTGGGCAACCTGTATAAACTTTAGGGCATGAATTTTTGTGATATCTATTAAGATTGGCTTAAGGCCCTTTATCCTTAATGATTTGGGTCTATCTTCAGATAATTGAAAGCTGCTAGATAAATTTAACTCTGACCAAGTATTATAGATTTATCATCTTCATTAGACCACTATTTAAATTCCTAATGTCAATACTAATCATATTTTTTCTCTTAGCCATCACTACCTGTCAATGGATCATAATTCATCTAATCATGAGTAGGTTTTTCACATAAAGACCATTTATAATCAAGATACAATTTTATACTTAAGTTATCGATAGTCAACGATTTATTTACTGATATGAATTCAGTAGCAAATTTGCCAATTGTTTTTTTCCTGTCTTGAGTTGTAACACAGATAATGGTGACCCTAAAAGAAGCTCACAAATTAGAAAAGCATCACTATCAGACTCAGCACAATCATTTCATAGGAAGAAAATTTATTTCATGTTTGAATGCAAATTTTAGTAATAATTGTGTTGAAGTTACTTCTCTGAATGCAAATTTTAGTAATAATTGTGTTGAAGTTACTTTTCTAGGATTGTTTCCAAAGTGTTATTTCAACTACTCAAGATAAAACACATTATCAGGATGTACTATTTCAAAATGGCACAGGTGAGAAACACATGTCAAAAGGTAACACAACTGTTTAGTTTCATTAGTTACAAGTGAACTAGTGGATAAGTCATGATTTCAACTATGTATTTCTTTTTTTTTTTAACTGTGTATGATATTTCTATGAAGATGTCCAAGTCTCAATGATAATCAGAAATGGGTATTGCTATGGGGATATCCTAGGGGAGTAAGGGGGACCATCTCTGGGGGCCCATTGGGCCCACTAACCCTACTCCACAGACTTAACACAACAAAAGCTTTGAATTCCTTGGTGTGCTTCATGAACACTGAGAAGCAAATGCCATCTCTGTTTGGGATGAAATTAAGGGGCTGTTTTGACAGAAAATCTGAAGAGTACATCTGTGGATAAAGATTGATCCTAACCATTTTAAGTAAGGGAGTACTGTTGGGGAATAGAAATTATGTCCAATGATCAACAGGTTGGAAAGAGCTAGCAGTTTCAGAGAGAAGAAACTTCTCTTGATAGCTTTAGTATTGCTTTCCTTGAGTGTTTGATAGCTTTAGTACCTACTGTGGGTTGGAAACAAATCAGTAAAGAAACCAATCCCTGAAGACAAGTTAAATGTTTTCAAGTGAATCTTCACAGTGAAGTAGTAACTGTAGTAACTCTGAATAACCAAAATTTGCAAAACCACATTTTATTCTATTCTATTATATGAATACCAATCTCTTTTTGGCCTGATAATTGTAGCTGTGTAGATCTAGTAATTCAATGAGTGATTCAGATCCAGCCCAGTATGGTTGAGACATCATAACCAAAAAGTAAACAAAGAAGAAATTTCCTGGGTCATATGTCTAGGCTCCAAAGAGAAAAAGATGGTGGTCCTACAAGATAGGAAAAACAGATCCTTCTTTCTTCGTGCTTTTCTTTTTGGTCATGGAAACATGTTTTAAGGGAAAGGGATATACATGGAGTTTTAAAACTGGAAGAGGCCATCAAGCTCTTTCATTTCTAGATTTAGAAGTGGCCCCGTGATTTGCCCAAGGGCTAACAGTTACCTTGTGTCCAGCCTGCTTTATTAATCAATGGGTGATTTAGTGTGCTCTGCTCATAATTCCCACTTGCTGCTACTTAGAAATAGTTCTAGAGTTCATGTCTTTTCTGCTATGAGACCAGCCAAGAAGAACAATTCTTAGTTTGCTCAGCCACATAAGCTGAAATCTTGCCAGTTTTTTTTTTTTTTTTTTTTTTTTCTGGGCAACACATAATAGTTGGGTCACATCAGGTAGATCCTTGTGAAGAGATGATTAATAGTTTCAGAGTCTGAAAAAAACAACTCAAAGCTAAGCCTTTCCCCTCCTTCACCTCATAATAGCTGCTCCATGCATGTATCCTGTTGGACTTTTCAGTTTTGAGGAATTCACATTGTCTTTGGTTGTATCCAGGAACATGAAGGGGGACCAAGCCAACATGGGGCTAATTTTATATTGTGGTCACCAACTAAGTTAATAGCATTTGCCATTTGCTGAATCTTTATAGTATGAAATGCTATCTATAAGTGAGAAGCTCAGCGTTGATCTGGTTCAGTTGATCTCTGTTGCGCATCTTACACAACGTCACTGCGGTTAGCATCAAGCAAGTTTTCTAGAAAGTGTCAGTTATTTTGATATCACCTGGGATTCAGATGTGCTGGTAGCCTCTCTTCCTTCTGGGAGGTAATGATTAAGTGGTAATGCTATCGCCTCTCCAGAGATGAACTTTTGCCCCATGAGACATCACCTGCACAAGGGTTAGGTCAGCTGTCTCGTGTATATAATGGGTTTGGAATACATGTTCAAGAAACCAGCATTTTAGAAGTCCCCCTACCACTGTGAGTAGTGTAGGGTCAGCTTACAAAACTGTTTGGTTATACTCTTTTGGGATTTGGCCCTGCTTATTTGGGGTTAGGTGGGAGTTTTCAAGCAGTTCATAGTCATCCTGCATGTTGGGGAGACTTTGCCTCATGTCCCGGGTAACCTTTTGGACCTGAATGCCAGTGCTGTTCTTTGGAGAAACCCTCTGGCCCCGGTATGCCTGGGCCTGACGTTTACAGATGCCAAACTTGCTAAGCAGGATGAATACATCCCTTTGAAAGGCCTTCGTGAAAATAGCATAGAGAAATGGATTGGCACAGGAGTTAAGTGGATAGAAGAGAACCAGCAAGATTTTGGAGTTGGTAACGGTGATGAGAGGCTTGTTCATCAGTGCTGACAAAGCATAGAATGAGATTGGGGCCATGCACATGAAGTCAGTGAAGATCAACACAGCCATCCTTTTGGCAGTTTTGGTGTCTTTGTCCCCTGGGTTGTACTGGGGATTTCGGACTGTGATGTAGATCTTCACATAACAGGAGCAGACGATGATAAAGGCAACTATGTTGAGCAACAGAACAAGGATAATATATGCCAGGGCAAGAGGTGTCTCAGTGTCCATGGGCAGGCAGATGCTGACCTTGGCGTAGCTGCTTATTCCCACCAAAGGGAGCAGGGCAAGCAGGAAGCAGCAAACCCAGCCCCCAACCATGATGGCATATGCATGCCTGAGGCGGATTTTCCGGTCCAGGCGCATGGCGAAGGTAATGGCGTACCAGCGCTCCAGGGTGATGACTGTCAGTGTATACACTGACAATTCACTGGCAAAGACAGTGAAGAAACCAGCTGTGTTACACCCCGGGCCTGTCTGCCAGTCGATGGCATGGTTGTAGTACTCAGAATGAGTGTAGAGGTCTACGGAGGCGATGAGGAGCAGATACATCCCCATGCAGAAATCTGCAAAGGCCAAGTTGCATATGAGAAAGCGTGGGACAGTGAGTTTGTAGTGGCTGGTGAGGAGGATGATCAGGACAAAGACATTGCCCAGGAGAGCCAGCAGACTAACAAACCACACCATGATTCTCAGGAAGTTGTAGCCCATTATGTCTTCACAGGGGTTGAACTCATCTGACTTGGGAGTACACACCATGTCTTCATTGCCCCCACACACAGTGTAGTCATAATGGCTATCAAAGGCCTGTAGGGTCTCTTCCTGTGGGTTTTTTAGCTCCTGGCCAAAACCGAGGATCTCATCTTCTTGTTCTTCAAAGAAGACATAATAATGAGAGTTGCTGTGGGTATCCTGGAACTTGGAGTTGTCCTTGTACCCAGCATGGCTGTCACCCAGATACTCCTCGTACTCCTGGTCAAAGGGGCCATTCAAAGCATTCACAGATTTTCTCTGACGCAGGCTCCGAATACTGCTCTCATTACACATTAAGGACTCAAGGATTCTGCAAGGCAACAGAAATAAGTCACTGCTTCCTGAAAACCCCTAACGGTTCCCATAACACTCAGCAAAGTATATGGAATACTTACTATGATCTACATGATTTGACAAGATTTTACATGATCTAGTCAGGCCTTTTCTCCTACATCATTTCCTATACCCCCCCACCCCACTCAAGTGTCCTTTTCTCAGAAAGCCTTCCCTCATCTCCCTAAATAAATTGTCCTACCTTATGTTTATTTCTTTTATAGTAATATATGATATCTTCTTATTTGCTTGCTTATTTTCTGACTTCCTCTACTAGAATGTCAACAAAGTGCAAGAGGGCTCTTGTCCAACCTATTCATTGCTATGGGATAGGACAGTGCCAAGCACATAGTAGGTGCTCAGTAAATATTTATCGAACAAATAAATGGATGCTATCATGCAGGCATACTCATGGAAGTGAGATTTAGTTTTTCACTAGCCCACCATACTGAGATCACAAAGGATTTTTTGTTGATTTATCTGTTGTGCTCTGGTTAAAATGCCCAGTGGACTGCCTATTCCAACCTGTTTGGGGGTTAATGAGAAATCTGGGCCCTGCCCTTGAAGGCCACTCTAGCTTCCCACCCATCCCTTTCCTAGCCAGGGCCACATGGCGTCAGTATCAAGCCTGCTATCACCATCCCCGTACCCGATGTCTGGCTTTTGGCAGGTGCTAGGCCCATACTGGTCTTCTTTGCACAGCCATTCAACTTTCCCTTTTGCTTCTGCCCCACAACCAGATTTCAGTTTGTTTCTGACTGCAAATATGAGTCAGAAAGTCAGCCAGTAGATATTGCATAGACACTGAGAAGAAGTGAATAAATGAGAAATGAAGGTGGTGTTAGGACAACGGGATTACAAGAGACACAAGGGGGGAATAAAGCAGAGTAAAAGTGTAGGTGAAGACAAGATGCAGAGAAAGCATGGAGAGAAGAAGGCTGTCCCTCCTTTGCAGCTTGTAAGGATAATAAAATAATTCACAACATAGCTGCTATTTATTGAGAATTTAAAATATTCCAGGTCATGGCAATAGGTGTTTTCTATTCAGTTTCTCATTTAATCTTCTCAAAACCTCTGTGAATGATAACATTACAATCTCCATTCACAGAGGCTCAGGGAAGTTAAGTAAGTAGGCTGGAATATCACAACTAGAAAGCGGCAGACCTCGGGTACAAAGCCAGCTGAGTCCAAAGCCCACACACAGGTAACCAGTAAGCTGTGACATTTGCAAAGTCTTAATTGCTTGTGTTGCTAAATTTGTCCTCATAGTTGTGTCATCTAATATGTGTTGCAGAACCTAATATGTATTGAATCTGGAGACTAGGAATCATGTAGTATAATCTCTACAAGATTCTACATGACCCCCATACCTCCCTGCTGTGATCCAGTGACATTGGTCTTCTCATCTGCAGTCACTTTGAGTCTGCAGGGGCATTGTGTCCTATGGAGTTCATGTTTCTTATGTATGCTTCAATTCTTTCCACCTGGCTTTCACATCACAAACCTTCCCCAAACCCAGAAATTACTTCAACTTCCACCAACACCTCTTGTCGTTTATTCCAGACACCTGCCATTTACCCTCTGATTTTCTTCTGATTCTTAAAAGCACAGCAGTGGCTCGGATAAGAAAGGTCAGCCCGTGTGAGGTGAAGGAAACTCAAGGAAAGTGGAAGCTTCTTTAGAGTCCACGTGTTTCTTGCTATCAATTCCTTCAGGTGCTCTAGGCCTTTGGATGGCAGGGCAGCGACGCTGGTGTAAGAGACGTCCCTGGGAAGGAGAGAACACAGAGCTGGTGAGCAGCCAGAGCCTTCTACTTCTTGACCAGAAGGTCAAGCAGGCCTGAGATTAATAGGGGCTTGCTCCTTTCTGCTCTTGAACATAGACTCAGTTCTTTAGATACTGCCACTGGTCTAAGGAGGGATATTTGGCTTCTCAGTTGATATGTTACCAGGGACTCCCCATTTTTATTACTTAGAATTCCAGTATGCATCGATACAAATAACAGTTAGCAGACATTTTATTTTATTCATTGCAATAAATGCAAATTCTTGGAATCAGAGACAGATATCAGTTTTACTCCAGAAAATTACACCATATAACTACTAAAGGGTCTCCAGAGGCAAGAGAAATGTATTTGAACAGGCTTAAAGGGGCCTGAATTGCTCTCAGTCTCTTTGGGGACTAGGGATTTGGGATTAATAAGCTGTTCACTGATATGGACCAAAACTGGTATCATGGAACTCTTCTAATGATGCAGAATTTGGGACTCATACCAGTTACATGGTGAATTCATGACTGAGAACAAACTCCCACAGTTTCTTTAGAAGGCTGTAAATGTATTTCATGGAAAGAAAATGCCAGTATTTATATTAATAATTTAAGATTATTTAGATTAATAACCTGAGAAGTGAGATTCAAGATACTTCCAAAAACAATGAAGAGGGTGGTAAAGCTGGGGACATAGACATTAGTGTTAGTTACTAAGGTAGAATTAATTCACATTGCAGTGTGACATTTCCTGTTCTTTTCTCAGTCCCAGGGAGTCCAGGTTATTATGTCTTGCTCCATCATTTTTACTTGCATTGAATAATAGCTTGAATAAAACCATGAATATTTAACCTAATATCTCTCATTTTATATTTTATAAATTAAAATATTCACTAAATATTCTTATATTTTATATATTTTATAAGGTTTTATAATTTTTTAAAAGATTTTATTTATTTTAGCAGGGAGGGGCAGAGGGAGAGAGAGAAGGAGAAGCAGACTCCCTGCTGAGCATGGAGCCCAGTGACAATGCGGGCCTCCATCTCACCACCCTGAGATCATGACCTGAGCTGAAATCAAGAGTCTGATTCTTAACTGACTGTAAAAAGTTACAATTTTTTAATAATTACATTTAAAAATGTTTAATATAATTAGTATCTTATTAGCAAGAAAATGCCAATATTTACAGCTTCTTCCTCCCTATCCTTGTAATTTGACTTAGCTGGGATTTACATTCTCAGGGTTCAAGGCTGCTAGAATTTGCTAGTCATTTTTTATAAACATGAAGCTCTCACAGTAACCCCATTCTTACTACAGTGATTCTCAGGGAAGGGTGTCACATTTGCTAGTCTATTTTGTATGTACTTTAAAAATTCTATAATTTAGCATTTCCCAAACTTGCCTGGTGGGAAGAATTACCCTTGGTGCTTATTACTATGTGAACCCAGGTAATTTTTAACATTAAGCAAGTATGTTTGGGAAACTGGCATAAATGAACAACTTTGCTGTATTTGCTGAGACCTGAGGGAGTTTGGAACCAGCCATGAATGCAGTTGGGAAGTAAATGAAGCTAGATGTTGCCCTCTTGCCTCGTCTGTCCTTTTGATGCCGCATTTTCTCTTTTAGCCACGCTGTTTTCGAGGGGTTGCTATCGTTCTGCCTTCAGCTTTCTGGAAGCAACTTATGTGTCTCTTTACCCAGTGATGCTTTCATGTCAGTGAAACAAGAGAGCATCTCTTGGCTCATTTTCCCTCCTTTGCTGTCTGTTGGATACACTGATTACGTGTGTTCATCTGAAAGAGTTTATCCTTCCAAGTACTGTGTTTGCATTTTAATAGATATTTCTTGAGAGAATACTGAAGGGACCATCCCACTTACTGAATGGCAAAACACCCCAAAACTAAGTGCCATCAAACAACAATCTTTTTATTATTAGCATAGCTTTTGTGGGTCAGGAATTTGAACAGGGCAGGGCAGGGATGGCTTGTCTCTGCTCCATGGTGTCTGGGGCTCAGCTGGGAAGACTTGAAGGCTGGGACAAGTCAGTGACTGGGGCTGCTATTATCTGCAGACTCCTTCACTTGCGTATCTGGGCCAGAGCTGAGATGACTCAAAGCTCAGCTCAGCTGGGATTGTTAATGTGGCTTTCCGTGGGGCTTGGGCTTCTCATTCATGGTGGTCAAGTTCTGAGAGGGGGCATTTTGAGAGGAAGCATCTGGGGTGTCCCAAGAGAACTTGTAGATTTAAAGGCAGGGAACATAGAACCTATCTCACAATGGGAGGAGTGTCAAAGAATTTTGGGCCTTATTTTAAAGCTGCTACAAGGGGTGGGGATAGCATTGAGGCAGATATTTGGTGAGAACTGGGAATTTATCACTCTGCAAATCAGTGTTTCTTGTCCAGGAATTACTTGCAATACAGACTCCTGAGCCACACCCCAAACCAACTGGATTAGACTCTCTGATGGTGGGGCCCAGGAATCTGCATTACTTAAGATACTCTCTAGGTAATTTAGAATCTCACTTCAATTCTCAGAACATTTTTTTATGAAGTAGGTGGATGTTAAAGCTAAGACAAAGAAAAGGAGGCATGTTATATCCAAAGAGATTCAGCAAATCAAGGGTGGAGCTGTAACTGTAATTTGGATCTATAGTTTAGGTTCAGTGCCCTAGGAACTTTTCTCTACCCCTTATCATCAGGTCTCTGGAGTCTTTTTTGAACACAGATCCAGGTGTGGCAATGCTCCAGGGACTCATTAGGAATCTGGGAGGGAGGAACTGATTCCATGGTTTGTCTGAGTGTCTGTAAAAAGCGTATCTCAGGTGGCCTCCAGTTGGGTCCCAGTGGGGCTGAATTGGGAGGGTGCTTATACAGGCATGGAGAAAAGGAGGTGTTGGAAAATGTGTGTAAAACTTATGATGAGACATCTGTAACATAGTGAGAACTTGGCATATAGTAGGTGTTCAACAAATGCCTTTCTTGCCCAACTTGGGGTTTATCTCAGCACAAGTCAGAAGCAAGGAACCCGGCAAATGCAGCTCCAGGCCAGATCTTGACTTGTACATCCAATTGCTTATTTGACATCTCATCCTGGATGCCTCATAGGCAACTCCAACTTAACAGGTCCATCCCAAACTTAACTTTTGATCTTCCATCCCCACCCAGCCTACTCCATTTAATCTAGGGAAAAACAACAACAACAACAAAACTTCTCTCCCCCCAAATCCCCAAATCCATGTAATTACATCTCCAGTATAAACTCTCTAGTCCAAGCTAACATAATCTCTTGGTGCAATAGCTTTCTTGTCTACCCTTCTTCCCTTCCAGTGCATCCTCCACACAGCAGCCAGAGTAGTCAGATGTAACATAGGGGTTGAGTAAGGTCACTCTCCTGCTTAAAACCTTTCAGTGACCTCCCAATGTACCATACATAACATTTACTCTTCCCACCATGCCCTTTAATGTCCTGAAGATCTGGCCCTTGCTTATACCTCCAAGCTCATCTCAGGGGCCTCAGGCCACTTATAGCCCAAATTGGAATCTCTCTGGAGCCATCTCACTCCCTGTTGGTGCGAGCCACTTGATGTAGCTCTAACTATCCATTAGACCTGCTGTTAACCTAAAGTGCTTCTGAGCTGCTGCCCTTTCCTAATGCAGGCTGCTCCACTCATGCTCCTTTGGTACTTTATAGAGTCAGGCAAGGGGAACAATTGCTTTTCCCCCTTTTTTGGGATTTAACCTCTCTTGCAGAGATCTACAATTTTAATCAGACAGTCTGGCTGCTATCAGAAAGGAAGGTAGGAGTTCCGTTACACTTGAAAATGGTTATAGTACTGCCTCTCCACTCAAAAATTCCCTAATGAGGGCGCCTGGGTGGCTCAGTTGGTTGGGCGACTGCCTTCGGCTCAGGTCATGATCCTGGAGTCCCGGGATCGAGTCCTGCATCAGGCTCCCAGGGAGCCTGCTTCTCCCTCTGACCCTCCCCCCTCTCATGTGCTCTCTGTCTCTCTCATTCTCTCTGTCTCAAATAAATAAATAAAATCTTAAAAAAAAAAAAAATCCCTAATGGAATGATTCTTCCCTCCAAGCCTACTGGTGTTTATGTCCTATTTTCTCTCCACCATCTTCTAGGACTTGTGTTCCCATGGAGTCTCTCTTGCCCTTGCCCTGCATTTATGCCATGCATATCTACAGTAAGATGCAACTGAACTATACCCTCTAATCGGATGCTAGATTAGCTGTTTATATGTCTGTAGCTGTCCACAGTCTCATGGTTCTCATTGCTACCACCTTAGTTTAGGTCTGAATTACATTTCACCTGAGCTGTGCCAAAACTTCCTTATTGGTCTTAGAACCCACCTTCAGACTTAAGACAGAGGGTTCTTTCTAAAACTTGGATCTCACTGTATTGCTTTCCAGCTTGAAGCCATGGTTCCTCCAATGTCTACACAATGTGGTTCAAGCTTCCTAGAGGAGTATTCCTTGTCCCCAGTGGGAATTTCTTCCTGAATCCTGTGTAATGTTCTTGATTTTTTCCATTTCACTGGAGCACATTTTTGAGTAATTTCTTAGAAAGGTTATATATGAGATATTTTCTACAACCTTGCATGTCTGAAAATGACTTTTTTCTACTCTTATATTCAGTTGATACTTTACCTGGCAATAAAATTTTGGGTTGCAAGAGTGTTTCTTCAGAATTCTAAAGGCTTTACTCTTTTGAATTCTAGCACTCATTGTTGCTTTTGGTAGGACTGATATAATTCAGGTTCTTGTTCTTTGGTCATTGACTTGTTTTTACTCACCGGCAGTTTTTATGACACTCTCTCTCTCTCTCTTTATTTTCCAGCTTTACTGAGATACAATTGATGTATAACATATATAAGTTTAAGGTGTGCAACATGATGATTTGGTACATGTATATTTTGTGAAATGATTATATGGCACTCTCTTTGTTCCCGGTGTGAGATTTCATGAAGGTATGCCTTGGTATGGATCTTTTT